ACCTAATTTATTTATTTTTTTATTTATTATTTACTTAATTATTTAAGTATTTACTTAACTTATTGAACTTAACTTATATATTTATATCTTTTTAAAAACTATTTATTGAACTTATTTAACTTAAATAAATAAATAAAACAATTTAAATAAGTTAATTAAATAAATAAAAGTAAATAAATAAATAAATAAGTATTTGTTTATTTTTTCATTCAAAATTAGAGAAAAAAGAGAACCTGAAGGCAACATAATGCTGTTTATCTATATTATTTAGCCTATACAATAATGGCACATAAACTGAAGCCTAAACAAACATATAGACAAAGCAAATTCAATGCAATTGCATATACAGTAACTTAACCGATGACATAACTAACACACATACAGTTGTTTTTCTTTAGAACAGTCACAAGTTCAACAGAAACATCGAAGCTCCTGCGTGAGCAGATGGAGAGTGATTTTAACTCATGACAAACCAGTGTGACGTTAAATAAACAGCAGTGATTGTGAGCGAAGTGAGAAGAAACCAAAAAGAATCACTGTGAAAACAATGGTGTGAATCAAATGATTCTAATGAACGAACTGCTCTCGGCCAGATTTAGTCTTTCATTGGGTTGCATCAGTGCTGTTCATGTTCCTTTGGGTCTAATAACCTGATGTAAAATAATTGAGAGTGATTTTTATGACAATTGGCTCGCTTCCATTATGCTTTATTACATTAAAGATTTATTGCATTTTATTCAATTAAATGAAGCTGGGGAGAATTCTTTTGCATCCTAAAGTGTGCCGTCTTTCTTTCTTAAATACAGGATCTGTTTCAAAACCTAGTGAGCTCCCTTGCGGCCTTTTAAGGGAGTGTTGTAAATGTTGAAGAATTTAGAAAAAAACATAGTAAAATCACAGTTGTAACACACACGAACATAACTTTTAGCTTTTTTCATTTAATAACAAAACAGTGCAATCATGTTATTACTTCTTTAAACAAGTAAATGTCTCAAAAACCAATGCACCGGCTTCGATGTATCACTCGATTGAATGGGCTTTATCAGTGGTTATCAGCTGATAGATATGGGCCAGTAGGGGCCTTCTGCACCTACTGGTAGGCTCAGAAGGCTGTTATCATCAATTCACATGGTTAATCAGCTATACCAAAGACTCCAGATCCAGATTACATTGCATTACTGTGATGGTTGGGTTTAGGGTTTGGGGTAGACGTTAATAAAATACAATTAATGGGAAATTTAATAAATAACATAAATAATTCTCGTTAACTTCCGGCCATCGCCGTATGTGATCTATAGCTGATTAACCATGTGGATGGATGATGACAGCCTTCTGAGCTGACTACAAGGTGCAGAAGGCCCCTACTGGCCCATTTCGATCAGCTGATAACCACTGATAACGCCCATTCAATCGAGTGATAGCATTCAAATCGGCTGTCCAATGTTTCATGTGTGTTTCACATGTGATATGTAATGCACCCCTCTTTAGTTGTCTTGCCTTCAACTGATAATCTATCATTATTTATTATGCATTAAACATTAATTATGCTATTTTATTTTCTTTCTTTTTATAGTATCACTATTTTTCCTTATTGAAAAGCGGGATAATTATAGCAGCACAGCATTTATTAATGCATTACTAAAAACCCAAAGTGGCGCTTGTTAAAATGAGTTAGCATGAACTAAAAAACGGAAAGACTATTTTCAAACTATTCACAAAGATGAATAAATATTGCAACAGATGTATTGTTTATTCATGTTAGTAAATATGTTATTAAGCATTGACTAATGGAAACCATATACACTCACTGGCCACTTTATTAGGTACAGCTGTCCAACTGCTCGTTAACGCAAATTTATAATCAGCCAATCCCATTGCAGCAACTCAATGCATTTAGGCGTGTAGACATGGTCAAGACAATCTGCTGCAGTTCAAACCGAGCATCAGAATGGGGAAGAAAGGGGATTTAAGTGACTTTGAAGGTGGCATGGTTGTTCGTGCCAGATAGGCCAGTCAGAGTATTTCAGAAACTGCTGATCAACTAGGATTTTCATGCACAACCATCTCTAGGGTTTACAGAGAATGGTCAGAAAAAGAGGAAATATCCAGTGAGCGGCAGTTCTGTGGGTGCAAATGCCTTGTTGATGCCAGAGGTCAGAGGAGAATGGCCAGACTGGTTCCAGCTGATAGAAAGGCAACAGTAACTCAAATAAGCACTCGATTCATCCGAGCTCTGCAGAAGAGCATCTCTGAACAAACAACACGTCCAACCTTGAGGCAGATGGGCTACAGCAGCAGAAGACCACACCGGGTGCCGCTCCTGTCAGCTAAGAACAGAAAACTGAGGCCAAAATTCACACAGGCTCACCAAAACTGGACAATAGAAGATTAGAAACATGTTGCCTGGTCTGATGAGTGTCCATTTCTGCTGCCACATTCAAATGGTTGGGTCAGAATTTGGCATCAACTACATGAAAGCATGGATCCATACTGTCTTGTATCAACGGTTCAGGCAGGTGGTGGTGGTGTAATGGTGTGGAGGCACACTTTGGGCCCAAAAGTACCAATTGAGCATCGTGTCAACAACACAGCCTACCTGAGTATTGTTGCTGACCATGTCCATCCCTTTAGGACCACAGTGTACTCATCTTCTGATGGCTACTTCCAGCAGGATAACGCACCATGCCATAAAGCGTGAATCATCTCAGACTGGTTTCTTGACCATGACAATGAGTTCACTGTACTCAAATGGCCTCCACAGTCACCAGAGCTCAATCCAATAGAGCACCTTTGGGATGTGGTGGAACGGATTCCCATCATGGATGTGCAGCCGACAAATCTGCAGCAACTGTGTGATGCTATCACGTCAATATGGAGCAAAATCTCTGAGGAATTTTTCCAGTACCTTGTTGAATCTACGCCACGAAGGATTACGGCAGTTCTGAAGGCAAAAGAGGATCAAACCTGGTACTAGTAAGGTGTACCTAATAAAGTGGCCGGTGAGTGTATATAAAATATACACATTACAATTAATGACAATATTAATTACACACAAAATGGTTTTAAAAATAAAACTAATATACTACTCAGAAAATTATCCAGAAGAATAACATAAAAAAAAAAAATTATTGATGTATTATTGCGCCAGCTGCAGCTATGGTTAAACCAAAACGTTACTTGATTACTACGCCGGAAGGAGAGTATAGTTCCTATAAATATCAGTCTTTTTTTTGTTACATTTGTGTCACTACAGAAGTGTCAAGCTTTAAATAGGTAGATTATTATTGGTCATTTCTGAGCGAGATGCTAATGGTCTAATCCGATTCAATGATTTATGCTAAGCTAAGCTAAAAGTGCTCCTGCCAGGACTCTGCCAGAATATAGCTGGAAGCAATAGCTCTGTGTGTGTGTGTGTGTGTGTGTGTGTGTGTGTGTGTGTGTGTGTGTGGTCTCGCTTCTCACTCGTGTGTGTGCACTTGGATGTTTTAAAAGCAGAGGGCCAATTTCGAGTATGCGTAAACATACTTGACAATACTCACTTCACTTCACTCACTGCAGCCCTACTCTAGAGAGCTGTAAATTGGACGTACTTCCAGTAAATAAAAGCGTGGAGTGTTCCTTTAAGGCACTGCGAGGACACTAGTAAAGGCATCAGAGGTCTTATGTTGGAGAGGGAGATGGACGAGGCACTGACCTCGGATCTGAAAGTGTGTGGTCTGGTGTATCTAGAGAGTCCCGCGGCTCCTCTGGGCCGGTCTACACAGCTCTCCTGCTCCTCCCTGCGCCCGGACTGAGAGTGAGGGACCAGAGGGACAGACGGGACAGACGGACGGACGGACGGACAATAGAGGACACAGAGGGATGTGATCCACAAAAACACACGCGCCCAGACAAACACACACACACAGATGACACCAGAAAGAGTGAGGAGGGGGAAAACTGGCAAAACTCAAAAGTGTGAAATGCAACAAAGAGTACTTCAAAAAATGAGTGTGATCTAAAGAGACAGTTCACCCAAAAACTGAACATTTGGTCATTTTACTCACCCTTTACTTGTTTATGAGTGTTTTTCTTCAGCTAGGAAAATATTTTGAAAAATGTACACCTGTAACCATCGGCTTCCATAGCGTTTGTTTTTATAACCGCTTTAGGGTGACTAAACTGCGAGTAAATTTCCATTCTTTACCTTTATGAGTGTCTTTCTTCAGTTAGGGAGATATTTTGAAAAATGCTGAAAACCTGTAACCATTGGCTGTTTCTCAATTCCAAGAACGCAGAGAACGGACTTGTGTTCTTGTCGAGAGCGGTCTTGCTAGGTGTCCTTGGAAGAACGAACTCAGCAGACCGCGAGGGCAGAGAACGCGCGTTTGAGAATTGAGATGCTGCGTTCTTCCTGATGGTCACATGACCTTCACGTGTTTTAAATGGTAAATTATTTAAACATTACAGCCTTCATACAACGATTTATTGTTTTTCCCTTTTTCAAAATATATACTTTGCATAAAAACATTGTAAATATATGTTGCACAATATAAATAAAACAAACAATTTCAGCAAACAAACACCCTGAATGTGTTTATTCTTTTATTAAGATGTTCATGTTTATGTTTACTTTCACCGTTTTATTTAGGGAAAATCCTGAGGTAAATAAGTGATATCTCTGAACTTTAATAATAAATCTAAATAAAATGCAGCGCTTCCCACCTCCAGTCGCAATGACTTCTGGGACTTCCAGAGCGAGTTCGGTGCTCAAGTCTGCATCGGTGCGTCCTCGATATCAAGATCACGTCCGGGAAGTTTCACGCGTCCTCTGTTCTTGCGGTCTTGAGTATTGGAACTGAACTTAGGCAGCTGATGATGACGTTGCACGAGAACACGAGGACGCAAGACCGCTGAAGAACGCATATTGAGAAACAGCCATTGACTTTCATAGTGTTTGTTTTTATAACCACTTTAGGGTGACTAAATAATGAGTAAATTTCGATTTTTTATCTTTATGAGTATCTTTCTTTAGTTGGGAAGATATTTTGAAAAATGCTGGAAACCTGTATCCATTGACTTCCATAGTGTTTTTTTATAATCACTTTAGGGTGACTAAATACTGTGTAAATTTCCATTTTTAACTTTATGCGTGTCTTTCTTCAGTTAGGAAGATATTTTGAAAAAATGCTGAAAACCTGTTACCATTTATACAGACTCAGTGTTTGTTTTTCAGCTTTCTTCAAAATGTAGATTTTGCGTTAAACAGAATAAAGTAACTCGTAATCACTTTATGGTGACTTAATAGTGAGTAAATCACAACTTTTTTTTTTACTTTTTTTTTTTTTTTTTTTTTTTACTTTAATGAGCGTCCTTCTTCAGTTAGGAAGATATTTTTAAAAATGCTGTAAACCTGTAACCATTGACTTCCATAGTGTTTGTTTTAATAACCATTTTAGGGTGACTAAATAATGAGTAAATAATGAGTAAATAATAATTAAATTTTCATTTTTTACCTTTATAAGTGTCTTTCTTTAGGTATTTTGAAAATGCCAAAAACCTGTAACTATTGACTTCCACAGTGTTTGTTTTTCCTGCTATCAAAGTCGATGTTGTTCAGCTTTCTGGAAAATATAGTCTTTTGCTTTCAACATAATAATGAAACTTGCTCTGTTTTAAACCCACTTACTGAAACATAAATAGTGAGTAAATTTCTATGTTTTTCTTTTATGAGTGTCTTTACTCAGTTAGGAAGACATTTTGAAAAATGCTGGAAATCTGTAACCATTGGCTTCCATAGTGTTCGTTTTAGGGTGACTAATTAGTCATTTTTATTTTTAATTTTTATTTTTACCTTTATGACTGTCTTTCTTCAGTTAGGAAGATGATTTGAAAAACGTCAAAAACCTGTAACCAATTACTTCCATAGTGTTTATTTATTTTCTGATGTTTTCAGCTTTCTTCAAAATACAGTCTTTTGCATTCAACAGAATAACGAATCTCATAATAACCACTTTAGGGTGACTGAATAGTGAGTAAATTACCATTTTTTACTTTCATGGGTGTCTTCAGTTTATAGATACTTTGAAGAACGCAAAAATCCTGTAACCATTGACTTCCATTGTGTTTGTTTTCCTGCTATGGAAGTCAATGGTTACATGTTTTCAGCTTTCTTCAAACTCGTAAAGTTTAGGGTGACTAAAATGGTGAGTGAATTTCCATTTTTGGGTGATTTTCCCCTTTTATAAAAAAATGAGAGAAAGTAAAAGAAAATAAAGAAAGAGGCAGCAGGGCTACAAGACGAAGAAGAGCGCAAAAAGAAAGACCAACTTAAAAATGATGGCGTAGGAGAGAGACGAGAAGAGGACGAGAATGAGGAGGAACAGGATTATGGGCTGAAACATCTGGGGATGAAATGAGGGACGAAGAGAGAAAAAGAGAGAGAGAGAGAAGAAAGAAGGGAAGGGGGAGAAAAGAATGCAAAACACTGGTTATGAAGCGCATGCGATGGGGATACATGAGTCTTACAACCAATAACCCAAAATGTGCAGTGACGATAAGATTCAAGTCTAACGGTGTCCTGACAAACCCAAGATTCAGTCAAAATCATCATTTTAACACAATTTCTAATGGATAATGAATGAATGCTGTCTTTAAAAAAATTTTATAATATGATTTTCCTAATGAAATAATGATAATAATAATAATGCTAATAATAATTTAACATTGTATTAATAACAACAACAACAACAACACTAATAAAAATTATTATATTATCATAGTATTATATTATATAATAATAGTAGTATTAAAATATAATTCTTCTTATTATAAATTTTATTATTCAATAATAATAATAATAATAATAATAATAATATTAATAATAATATGTAATTATTTAGATAATTATTAATATATATCAACATTAATATATTATTATTATTATTATAAATAATAATAATAATAATGCTAATAACAATTAACATTGTATTTCTAACAAAAATTTTTATATTACATTATTATTAGTATTATCAATTTTAATAATATGAATTATTATTAATATATAATAATTAATATAATAATGATGATAATAATAATAATAATAATAATAATATATTATTTAGATCATTATTAATATATATTAACATTGATATATTATTATTAAGATTTATAAAATAATAATAATACATATTAAATATTAAATAATATAGTTATATAATATATTTTTATGCCATTTTTAATCAATATTAATTGTACCATTAGCCAATATTTTAATAAGACAACATAACCATATTCAATAACTAAAATATTACATGTAATTTTTGACATTAATAATTAATGCAATTTTAAATCATTGCACATATAAATCATTAATTTAATTGTTTATTTCATTAATAAAAAATAATTGTTTTAAAATTCTGATAATAAAATAAAAACAAAAAAGTAAGTTTACTAGCATTATTTGACTTAATGATATTTTACTTATTAAAATAAAAAATGTAACATAAAGATTATGTCATTACATAATACAATGTAACCTTTATTTTTATAAATAATTATAAAAAATTGACAAATTAATTACAACTAATCTGAGTTAAATAAAGGAAATGTGTTTTAATATAAACAAAATAAATATCACCAGCTTATTAAAAAATGTAACTAAAACTGAAGACAAAATTATTAGTCCTCGTGTCAAATTTCAATCCTTTTTCAAATTTTTCCCAAATGCTGTTGAACAGAACATGGACATTTTTCACAGTATTCCCTATTATATTTCTCTTTTAGAGAAAGTCTTATATATTCATTCATTCATTTTTCTTTTCGGCTTAGTCCCATTATTAATCAGGGGTCGCCACAGTGGAATGAACCACCAACTTATCCAGCATATGTTTTAAACAACGGATGCCCTTCCAGCTGCAAGCCATCACTCATTCACACCCATACACACTCATTCATGCACGCACGCACGCACGCACGCCCGCACGCCCGCACGCACGCACACACGCACACACACACACATACACACATACACACATACACACACACACACACAAAACAGACAATTTAGCTTACCCAATTCTCCTATATCGCATGTGTTTGGACTGTGGGAAAAACCAGAGTACTGGGAGGAAACCCACGCCAACATGGGAAAAACATGCAAACTCCATAATCTACTGATAATACACTATTTATTTACAACTGATAATCCATTATATATTTTTTCCACAATTTCTGTTTAACGGAAAGAAGATTTTTTCATCATATTTCTAAATATTATATTATTAATAATAAATAACATCATTTTAACAACTCATTTCTAATAACTGATTTATTTTCTTTGACAGTAAATAATATTTGACTAGATATTTTTCAAGATACTAGTATTCAGCTTTAAAGTAACATTTAAAGGCTTAACTAGGTTAATTAGGTTAGAAATAAGGTTTTAGGAAAGTCATTGTATAACAGTGGTCTGTTCTGTAGATCAGGGGTGCCAGAACTTTTTTTTATGAAAACCAAACTAAATTGAGGTAAATAACCCAAACTGCACTGTAAAAAAATGCACGGCTCCACACTATTTATTCAGGTTGTCTCAACACAAATGGATAAGGTCAACGCAGTGGACCCTTCGCTAAGCCCCGCCTTCCTTAGTTACTGTTGCTACGCCTGTCAAGCTTTCATGCCTGGCACGGGTTGTTCAATGTGTGTGCGCCGGTGTCAGACATTGCCAGGGATATAATGTCATTTTTGGCCAACAGGTGAGATATGCGAGAAAGCCAGACAACAAAAGACTGCAATATGCATTACAGGGGT